GAAGACATGTGCAAACCAGGTCAGAAAAGCCTGTGCTAAGGAAAGAAAGAAGGTCGCTTGTAGAATTTTAGGCCCCAGGAGGAAGAAGCGTAGGTCTACGGGAACCCTGATATCCCCCTACAAAGTAATGAGTGGTGCTGTCTCAACCTCCTCAAAAGGATAGTTGGGACTATGACTCAAGTCCGGGTGAGCATTTAGGAGTTCTGGTCCATGTTCAATGCTCTTTCCACTACTGTTCATACATTTATTGGAAATGCCAATAAACTGAGCTTGAATTTTAAAAAGGAGACATAATGCCAATAGGGGACAAACGCTAACTAGACCAAAATGAGGTTCTTAAGGTAGGGGAAGGCTGTAGAAGAAAAGCAAAACAGTCATTAATGTAATGTTATTACATGATGGCATTACAGCCAAACTCTAAGATATGAGTTTCACTGATTTTGAATATTTATCAATATTATAATGATTAAACTAGTCTCTTCACTGATTTTGTTTTTATTTTTATTTTTTTACAATCCCAGGTAATCAAGTTGTGTAATGTTCTGGCTGCATGATTAGCTAATTGATGCGTATTTCATTGATTTAGCAGCATTTATCACTTGGTAATAAAATTTAGTTTGATTATTAAAGTATCAACTGAATGTTTTATTCCCTCTCTGCTGCATATTTTAACCCAGGTGCATATTTTCTCTTTCACATTAGAAAGCTAACATAAACCTGAGATCTTGCCGTTTCAGCAAAGCTATTTCTTTTTCTAAATGAAATATCTAAGAAAAGTTGAGATTCCATAGGAAAAAAGGTTAGATATGAAAAGTTTTGAATTCCGGCTCTTTTACAAAGAGGAGCCGTTAAGACTAAGAGTGAGGGGAAAGTTCTGAAAGATGGCTCTCAGCACAGTAAACCCTCACGGCAAGCTTTGGTGCTTATATAAATCCTTACACTATCCACGTGAAACATCGATTGGTCTCCCCGACGTCTCAGGCACTGTGGCAAACCTCAGAGATAAGGAGATGAGAGGTCTGTCTATAATCCCGAGACGTCCATAATTAAAGTGTGTGTGTCAGTTTGAAGAAATTCGGAAAAGGTACAGTGAGCCCTGCGCAAGTGCTGGCTGATAATGCTATTGTTATTTGTGCCCACCACTTGGCGAATCACTGATGAACACATGAGCTGTTTGGTCCAGGGAAGGGACAAGAGAGAAACACACGCTGCAATGACCGGGAAGAAAGTGACACACATTTTAACAAAAGTACCAAAGTAGAACAAGGGAAGCTTAACTCACAGGTGTATGGGAAGGGACTAACAAAGACATTCGAAGTGGGTTTTGGCAATCCGGTGGGGTTTGCATTTGTAAAGACAGGGAAGGCCAGTGTTAGGGAACTATGTGATTGGCAAAGAGTCTGGTATGGCTGAAGGGTAAGATTCCGGAGGCAAAATGGGAAGTTCAGGGAGAAAGACAGGTGGAGGAAGATGGTAGAAAGCCGTGAGTGACATGCGACAGCGTTGCGTCTTATTTGCGCAGCCAAGGGGAGCGTCTGCAGGCTTCGAACGGGAGATCAGGAGTTCATGATAAAGCACTGAGGCTTGGCAAGACAAGGGAGCGACACATCCCCTTCCTCCCGTGTAGCCCGGTCTGTGTGACGTTTCCTTCCTCTCCCCTCTCGTCAACCTCTCGCTCATCCACCTTCACTCAGAAGCTGTGGCAGGGACAGAAGGTAAAAGTTAAGCCATAATTCGAAGAAACTGTCAGTGGTGGATGCTGGAAGAGACAGGGAGAAGAGAGAGGTCAGGGAGCCAAAAGGTTGAATAGCCAATAACTATATGAAAAATATCTCAATCCCACACTTGTCAGAGACTTAAAAATCAAAACCAGTTAATGTCATGTCCAACTGATTGCCAAAATTAAAGTCTGGCGACACTACATTCACCACCTGTGGTGAATGTGAATTACAACAAGCCATTTGGAAAGCAGTTGTGAATATCTAGGAACGCTGAATAAACTTTCTGTCCCAGCAAGTTCACTGGACATAGAATCGATGATGTGTTATACTTCTTAAGCTTGATGTTATTATTATTGTGTTATTATTCTCACCTTTTTTCTATATCTGAAATAGTTTATCATACATTTTAAAGACAATCATCCTGTCACTCTTCTCCTTAGTCCTTCATCCTGCAGGTATTACCAGATTTACCTCAATCCTTTCCTTTCTGCTCACTTAGAGCAGCCCATCTGATATTAATCCTTGAATACTTTCCAAGTTCCCACGAAAAACTAATTTGTCATGATGACTAGCTACAGAACTTAAAATTAGAACATATGTCAATAACTAACCCATAAGAGCATACGACATACCAGACACTAAATGTTTTCTTGTGCTAACTCTTGCATAAACTTTTGAAAAATTCCCTGGTATCAGCTCTTTTAATTCTCACAACAGCTTAAAGAGGTAGATTACCATTATCTTCACTTACAAATGAAGAAACTGAGGTGAAGACAGGTGCTAGGTAGAGGAGGCGATATTCACTCCCCAGCCATCTTGCTCCCAAATCTGCACCACTAACCACCTTGCTGATGTTTCTGCTGCACTGTGGCCAAGTGGAGGGTGGACAAATTGCCTGAGTCATTCAGACAACAGTCAACTGGGATTGGTTAGAAATGAGTCGACTGCATTAGCCTTGTGAGCCACTTCTACTGGCTGAATTTTCCAGAACATTTTTCTGGTTCCCACAGGCAGTTTGTTTATTTCCAGTTGTTTTCTTCCTCTGACCAAGCAATGGTTTAATGTTGTCAGCATTGCTGTGAAGTACTTGGAGCATCTATAGCATTCAACAGCCATTTCCAAATTCAGAGTACTTTTCATTTACTGAATAATGCATATTTAATTACTGGCCAACTTAAGCTGGCTTTCAGAGAGTGGAACTGTTTATTGCCAGCTGTATCCCACAATCATAGACAAGAATAGAGTTTTATATGATTTTATTTTTTGGTAATTCGAGCCCTCTTTCAGAGGGGAGTGCATAGCTTCCCTAACACTTGTACTTCAAACAGATGAATTGCTTCCCAGCCTGGAGAGCAGCCAACTCTCTGAATTGACGTGTTCACTGAATAATAAATTGCATGTAAGGGAATGGTGCCAGATGCAAGAGGTTTTGATAAAAGGGCATTTGAGCTCTATAAATGATACAAAATATTTCACTTCTTAAGAAATTTTAATAAATTGTTGAATAAAAGACTCTATGAGAAAGGTTTTGTGCTCGATTCAGCTTTTGCTACGCATTTCAGTGAACAGATTATTCTGACAATATGTCGGCAGTAGGCTAGACGTTAGATAAATACATGTGAAATATTTCTAGTGGCTGAGCTGTCCTCCCCCTATCTGAAATATCTGAGTTCTAGCACTGGACTGGTGAGTCCACTGGGTAATTCAGAAGCTCAGACTCACTGTTTTGCAAGTTCATGGTGTCGCTTTTCCTGATGGGGTTTGAATCGAACATGCTTCTTTATCTGCATGCTTTTTTCATCTGACACTCAGGACACAGTGCAGATCTTTCTGTGGAATTTTAGTGCATTCACTCTGTTTGCATGGGGCAAATGCATTCTCTTAGCCCTATTTTGAACTATTAAAAAAACCTTGCACAGCATCTTAAAAGAACTATCGAGCACAGGTTCTGTGTTGAGAAATAGCACATTCTTCATTTTTCCTTCCTAAATATGCTTTTCTTTAGAAACAACACAAATCTTCACAATTTTAAACAGACTTTCAGGTCTTCAGAGGGAGAAAGGCAACAATCTCTTACTCTCAATGGTTGAATAAAATGTCAGGATGTTAGGAACACTAAAGCCATTTTGATAATGTTATCCTTTTTATGCAGGCCCTATCTAAGTAGCATGTTACGACTATCCTTTTTAAAGGATGAAAACAAAAAATTTAATCTTTTATTAAAATTCTCTATACTTCTTCCAGCTGTCATTGCTTATTTTTCACGGTAGATGGTCACGTTCCTACATCTGGACGGTTTTATTCCAAACAAGCAGTAATCTCAGTACATTCAGGCTCTTTAAATTAATAGAGCAGGCCTCACAGCTGTACTCAGAGGTATATTTAGAAGATTTATCCTTTAACAGAGAATAGATGGTGGTACCACTGTCTTTAACAGATTGCAAATGTATAAACCACAAAAGGTTTGGAAAATTTTAGAAGAAAAGTTTGGGCCAAACAACTTTGCATATTTAAATCTGACACAAACACAATCCCAGTATGCCGTGTCTGCAGAGTGTCAGAGCAGTGGATTATAAACAAGCTGTTCTAGAGGCAAAGAGACTATTTCTAAATTGACTAGTAAACTGCAATTATCAATAAATGTCTTCCGTCTTGGAAATCAACTAGGCTCTAATTTAGGGTCATCCCAGTTTGATAAGGCCTCAGCTTTTCAGGCAAAAAGCTTTCGTGAGTTTCAAAGGAATTCTCTGTCTCCATTCTCCCCACCCTCTACCTTCATCCGAAGCTTCTTACTCTGGAGGTACAGTGAGCTGGATTTCAGGGAGCTCTGAATAAACTTCCTGGGCTCACGGTACATGCGCACATTCTTATTCCCAATTCTCCTGGGTCACTCATACTGTATTTCCAAAAAATGGGCTACCCATCCTCTGTGAGTTATCAAATAAATGCTAATTATATACATACACAATTGCTCCTACACGTATGCAAACTGTATGTGCATGTGCACATACGTAAAATTTTCAAGGAGTGAGGCTACTCTTGGCTTTTGTGGAGCCCCTTTCAATGCAGGGGATTTGTGTGGCAGACATTCATGCAGTGACTAAAGGGAGCTCTTTGCCACATACGGTTCCGGAGAGATACTTCTCAAGGTCACTCACTGAGAATTAGGTCAAGTTCTAAAGCAGATGATGGCGTTAGGATTGGCTGGCACGTGCGAATGGCAAGAGGTCCATCCATTTTTCATGAAGTTATAATTAACACACCGTCTGCCTCCCGCAGGTTCAACCTTTGGGAATGAGGAACAGCCGGCTCTGAAGGCGGCACTGCCTTCTAAAGACACGCCCAAGGGGGCCAGCCGGGTGGTCCCGCCGGCATCCTCCAGCGTGACAGCACCCCGCAGGAGCTTACTCCCAGCGCCAAAATCCACTTCCACACCCACCGGTAAGTCTTTCTGTCTAGGGGAGGCTCGATAGTGCAGTGCCCTTTCTGCGTTAATAAAAAGTCTTTTGAAAGTCCCTAAATAACATCAGTTATTTAGATGGGATGATGAGTTTTAAATGATATTTAATAATAATGATACCACTATTTTCAAGGCATTTTTGTGTATAATATTAATGTGTTTAAATTCTCACAGCTGCCTCTCATTCATCCCGTAACTGGTATCCCTTTGAATCACACAGTTTCGATTTCAGAAAGCAAGAACCAAGCTATTTTAAGCAGATTGGCATTTGGCTCAATGAAGTGGGTGCTCATGAAATCACTGGAAGGGCCGTAGGAGCAAGCTCCAGGCTGCACCTCCAGGAATGAGTCCCAAGCCCCACAGGAAAGGCTGACTCCACAACAGTGTGGGTGCTCTGTGCCCCCTGCTGGCTCAAGGTTCGGACCTCCAAAGCTAGGACCCAAGGATGGATGAGCTGCTCCTGCAGCACGGTTGGCTCTAGAGCCATGCTGTGCCTGCTGGATTCATGCCAGCAAAAGAAATCCCCGTGCCCTGCCTCTCCACACCCACAGAGCTAGTGACTGGACGTGGCGAACTGAGCTGATGCAAAGGTGTACGAGTGCATCTGTTTGCTGGCAGGGATGTCAAAGCATGTTGTTCTTAGCTTTCCTTCCTCTGCACTATAAACGGCACACTCCTGGGAAGGTGCGATAGATGTTGAGCCCTAATCCACCATGCATAGCTCACCAATGTCAGTATTTATTTTTCCATATTTTTCTTCTATGCTCATATAATCATATATCAATATATATACATATGCACTCATGGGTTTTATGAGGTTTTAAAAATGAGATTGCATCATACCCATTTTGCTACATGTTGTTTTCCTTACTCAGAAGATGTCACAGAAATCCCTCCAAGTCAGTGGTGTGGCTCATTCTTCTCAGTGGCTGCATGGTATGGATGTGCACCATGACTTATCCAACCCTCCCCTCACTGATGGGCATTCACTCTGTAGCCAGTGTTTGCCACGACAAACAGTGCTGCAGTAACAGCCTTGAGTGGGTGGCATTCTTTCTATGGGATCAGTTCCCAGAAGTGAGATTGCTGTGTTTGATTCATTAATAGATAGCACGAGATTCCTTTTCAAAGAGGCTGCAATGTTTTCCACCCATGTCCTCGCTAAGAATAGGTACTAGCCCTTTCTAACATTTTGGTGCACTCGATGGGAGTAAAGTGTTATCCCAATGTTATCTTATTTTATATCTCCCTGACCACTAACCAGACTAGCTGGAGCCGCTTGCTCTAATAGCAACTCGACATTCCCTTCGGTAAGACTTAAATTGGCTTGTCTAGTTTTGTTCCTCAGGGGAAGAGAAGCTTCCAGGGGCAGTGACCCTGTCTATTTTGTCCAACATAGCATCCCCATTGCCTGCCACAGTGCCTGACTCACAGTACAGACTTAACGTCTTTTTGTTAATGGTTAAATTAATCAATGAATGAATTAATGTCACATAGAATTTGAATCTTGCAGTTCCAGGTTATTAACAGTTTGGTCTTGGTTTAATTAGAAAATAATTAGATAAGCCTATGATAAGTCTAATTACAGTTGTTGAATCAACCAATGTTTCTCAAACTCCAGTGCGTCAGAGTCACCAGCGGGGTTTGTAAAAACACAGATTACAAGGCCCCGTGCCCAGAGCTTTGGATTCAGTAGGTTTGGTTTGGGGCCTGAGAATTTGCATTGCTAACGAATTCGCTGCTGTTGCTGCTGCTGGGGGTGTAGAGATCACACTTCATGAACCACTGGTGTAGAAAAATGGGCCAGGAACTTGGGCAGACGATTCTTAAACAAAGAAATGCAAATGGCTCTTAGTCACATGAAAAGATAATCAACCTCACTCTTAAGAAAAATGAGAAATAAAACGTCAGTGGACTACAGAATTGCACCTAATAGACTGGCAAAAAACCCAAAAGTTTGACAACACACCCTATTTGTGAGGCTACAAGGAAACGGGCATTGTTGTCTATTGCTGGTGGGAATATGAAATGGTGCAAGTCCTGTGAAGGGGCGTTTGGCAGCATGTAACAAAACCACACGTGCATTCATTCTTTGACATGACAGTCCCGCCCCAGGAGTCTTTCCCAAAGGTAGGCTGGCAAAAACAGTCGTGAAGTGATTCATTGCAGCACTATTCAAAGTAACAGAAGACTGAAAACATTCTAAATCCAATATGACAGCTGTCCTTATAAGAAAAAGAGAAGAGAGACACACACAAGGGTAGACAGAGAGAACACCCCATGACGACAGAGGCCGAGATCAGTTATGCTACTACTCACTGAGGATGGCCATCAACCACCAGAGGTCAGGGGAGAGGCATGGGACAGATTTGCCTTCTGAGCCCCCAAGAAAGAATCAGTTCTACTGACATTGCAATTGGACACTGCTGGCCTCCTGAACTGTGAAAGAATAAATTTGTGTTGTTTTAAGCCAAAAAAAAAACAAGACTGAAAACAACTGAAATGTCCATTCACGGGGCACTGGCTGAACAGACTGTGACACAGCCCCAGGATGTGTGGAAATCTCTCCGTGTACCACTAGACAGCGATTTCCAGGAAACAAATCCGTAAGTATCAAAAGCAAGGTAAAGAAAAGTGTGCAGTAGGCTACCTCCTATCTAAACATAGGGAAAGATTAAATTATATGTAAGCTTATATTCATAAAAACCAATAGAAGAACAAGCTGTGGGTTTTTTTAAAAATGATTACCTGTAGGGGAAAGGAAGGGGCAGAAGGAGGGAATAAAGGTAGAGGCCAATGACAGACGTTGAATACACCTTGCTTTGTAGATTTGAAGTCACGTGAATATTTTACACCATTGTGCATTAACATTAAATTTTTTAAAAATGATATCTAAACATCAAAAGTGAACTGAATCAAATGAAAGTGATTGTATAGCCTGTTGGTGGCATAACCACACAGGGAAGTACATCCTTCATAATATATACCCTAGGTTCTGAAAGAATTGCCACAACAATCCGAAAGTGTTTTCAATAATTATATTGTTGGTGGTAATGTTGGTATTAGGATTCTGCATCTGCTGTTATTCTGAATGTGCACATTATGGGATAAGTGTGATGTGGGTATTATGGGATAAAATATAAACTCCTATGAATTTATCTTTAAAAGCAGTATTCCCAGCTCTGTTCACTGGAAAGTTATAAATAGTGACTAAACCAACAGTAACAAGCACCCCTAGTGCTCAGGCTGTGGTCTCTAAATACATTTCCCAGGACAGGGAGATGGGGGTTCTTGAAGCAACAGCTGTTACGGGTCTAAGACAGGAAAAGTAGATCCCAGAATATCTTGCCATACTAGAAAGCTAAGAAGGGTTCTATTGAAAAGACTCAAGAGACAACCTATATAAGCTTCTACTGGTAAAAATATAAAATTTTAAAAAGAGTTTGAATATCAATAAGATTAGTAACTGCAATGGATTAATGCTCATCAAAATACATGTGTGTCAATGAGAACATAGGATACAAAACACACCCAAAACCAGTCGCTTGGAGCATGCTAGGAAAGAACCTCATTATTTTAAAATCTCATAATAAAGAAACAGATAAAACATTTTAGCTGCTTCTCCTATTCACTCTGTCTCTCGAGATAACCAAATAGTTGATGAGAGGGAAGTTTCTCTTTATGAAAGTATTTAGCTAATAAAGAAGATATGAAAATATCACCCTTTTGCGTTTCTAATCAATCGGTAGATGAAGGCAATGATCAGCAGTTGAGAGAGATAACCAGATGTTATGAACCATCCTGATGGAAATATATACCACGTACCTATGAATTAGTCTTAGGGGAAAAAATGAATCTGATGCAGCCTCTAGATTTAACTAATTTACTGGAAATACAAAGGAATGTAGAGAAGCATATTCAATAACACGTTGGGGACAGAGTCAGCAAACCCAGACTCTAGGAAACTCTGTAGGACAGACCAGATGATACTCAACAATAGCAACAACAAAAAGTTGTGTGGATTTTTTCTGTAATAATTTAAAAAGATTTATTCTGCGCTAAATTTGAGGACAATGGCCCAGAGCCACGCCCAGGAAGTCTTGAGCAAGTGGACTCGCTGTGGCTGGGTTACAGTTTGGTTTTTTATCAACAACAAAAATTGTAAAAACAGAAACTAAAACATCTTTGGGGGGAAGAAAAGGAGAGGGAGTGAGAACCTGTAGATTATGAAAGACTACTATGTCAACCAATTGCAGCATGGATCTAATTTTAGATCCTAATTCAAACAAACACACCAAAAAAAATTTTGAAGATAATTGGGAAAATATGAACATTGGCTATTTGATATTAAGAAATTGTTAATTTTTGAGTTTGATGGTAGTAGTTTTGGTTCTATTTTTTAAGAGTTTTAGAAATTCACGTATATGAAATATGCGATCTGCGATTTCCTTCAAAATAACCCAGGACGGTGGTGAGCAGAGTCTGTGTCTTATAGAAGATGAAACAACATTGGCCACACACTGCTCATTGTTCAAGTTGGGTAATGGAATACAGCAAGTTAACTTGACTAGTCTCTCTACTTTATTATGTATTTAAAGTGCCACATAATAGCATGATAAAATGTGCATTGAGAGTGGTTGTTTTCACGGAAGGAGAGTTAAATGGAAATAAGGTATTTCAAGTGTCAAGAAGAGGGGAAACGGCAGGTAGTGTTTAGGACCATAAAGATTTCATTACTTTCCCAAGCATTTCTGCATAACACAGGCAATTTTTGAAAGCCAGGGAATCTTGATAACAATTTTCTTCCACTTTGTATTACTTTAGAAAACACTAATGTACAGAATCTCATTTGATCCTCACAAAGATCCTAAGAGGTAGGCAGAGAATTTATTACAAATGGAGAAACTGCAGCTGAGAGATGTGAACTGAGTTGTCCAAGGTCATGCAGTGGCATCCAGAAATAAACGTGTGTTGTGCATGT